ACACAGACTAGAAGTGAGGATAGAACAACATTTTTTTAATGGTACTGGGAATCTAAACTCTTGAACCTCTCACTTGCCAGGCAGGCACTGCGCTGCTGAGACACCCGCAGCCCCAAAACTTTCTTAACTTTATTTATTTATCTCAGTGCTAGGGATCAAACTCAGGGCCTTGTGCATGCTGGTGAGCAGCTCTATCGCTGAATCACAACCCCAGCGAGAACAATGCTCTGCCCAAAGTGCAGATACCCACTTCCCGGCCTGAGCGGCCTTGCAGATGGGAAGGCTGCCCATGGAAAAGAACACAAAGTCCTGCAGTGTCAGGGTAGGGGCAGCGTTGCTAACACCAGCCCCTAACTGCACTCCCAAGTTGCAATTTGAGGAAATTTTGACAAAAGGCCAACTACTTTTTGGTTGCTGATTATGTGAATGGACAAATTTTGGATTTGTTTCATAAATGTTATCAGATGACATTTAATTTATTTGTATTTTAGGGAAGGATCTACAGGGTGCCCAGGGTCTCACTACTAGATCAGACTCATAGTGATCCACCTGTTTACAGCCTCCCAAGAGCTGGGATTACAGGCGCGCCACCACGCTCAGTCTCAATTGCCATCTCAGTGCGCACTGGGGGTCGGGCCGGCACAGCAGGCCCGGGGGATCAAACCCCCAACCCCTGTGCCTGCTTGCAGGCGCTTTAATCCACTGAGCTATTTGGCCAGCCCTCAGATGACTTTTAAAATTAAAGTCACAACAGCAGATGGTAGGTAGTGACTGAAAAATCACAGGATCTTGTGTTACAAGTATTTCAGTTCAACGTTCTCAATTCTATAGTAACAGTAATCTTTAGGCCAATCCTCCACTGATCAAAAATCTGGTAAAATGATTCATTTTATTTTTACAGTTATAAAAGAATGTTATATTTTATACTAAGATAACATTTGACTCTGTACTTTCAATCCCTAGTCCTAGTCCCTTCTGCTGAACCATAAAAGAATTTTAAGATTTCTTTCAAGAATGATACTCTTTCAGGAGACAGACATTCCAATACAATAGTATCATATCCACCGGTACCATATCCACCTCTACTTGTTCCCTAAGGGTATATCAGAAAAATTTCAAATAAATCTATATAAGCAAGCTACGCTAACTATTTAATACTCTCCAAGGAATACTACCACACATGGCAAATACATTCTTGGTCAGCATCTCTATTTACAGAAGAGAAAGCAGAACATCCCCAACCTAACACATATCTTCTTTTCCTCAGCTTCAGTAACCCCTGATTAATGACCTCCACTTGCAAAGGAGGCTACTTACCTTAACCATGAAATAATGAATGCTATTGATCCAACAAGCTACTGCTATAGAGTGTTATTGATCACCCAATCTTTGGTTAAAATGGTCCTCATTTAGCAATTTCACTGTCACAAACACCTGGAGCAAAGCATACTCATAATTAAAGAGTTTGGGGGAGTTAAAGTGAGAGGTGATGGACAGAAATCTCAGCTTTCTCCCATTTATTCTTGCTTCTGAGCTATTGTTTGTGTCAGAAGGGATATTGATTTTCTATAAAAATAAGAAAACAAGAAGCACCAAGGGGCCTCAGAAGGTCAGCTTGGGCTGGAGGAGGGGGGGGAGGTTTAGCACTCTATCTATGTCACTTGCTTTCCAAGAGAAGGGAATATTTTCTTTTCTGTGAGAACAGCCTCTAATACATCACCTTAGGAAGGCTCCTGAATGTGACTTTAGGCTATCACCTAACCAATTCATTTATGTGAGCAAAAGAAGCTAAACAATATTATTAAAGGAGAACAAACAAATGATGTGTTAGTGAAGAACACAGCAAAATTGGACCATGGTTATCTAATTAATAGCTGCTATATAGACAATTTAAAATTAAAGTCTACAGACAGTAATTTTACAAGCATTGCCCCATTTTAAAGTAGCCACAAAAACACATAAAGGAAAAATTTAAAATAACTGAGTTTTATGCAGATGTTTAAAAAAATCTACATAATTATAATCATTTTCAGTTCCTCAGAACTTGTAAGGGATTGGTTGGTACAAAAGTGAAGAACAGAAAAGAAACAAAACAGAAATACTGGTTTATCTTTAACTACTCACTATCTAGTTAGCAAAAAGGGAGTTAAGGAACCTAGAAATACAGCTGAGTGAGATATGCTTTTTCAAATCCAAAACATCTTTACATTCTTTTTAAAACTATGTGCTGAGTAGGCCAGTTTAAGTTTAATGATCAACTTCATCTCAGTTTTACAAAGTGAATCATGACTCTGACAACCCTCAATGCCACTAATAAAAATAAAATTCTACACTTTGGTCTGTATGTAAACAAACTGAGGAACATTTAAGCAGATGGATTAAATAGTAACCAAGAGTTTTTTTGAAAGTATTTCTTCTAAAGTAGGGGAAATAAATTGACAGAATCGACTCACAAAGCAGGAATACTATCTAAATGATGTGCTACTTACCTACTTACACACTAATACTAGCCCTTTACATAAGCTTGCACTTGACTTTGGGTAAAAAGAGAAAAATCTCTGACTTAGCGAGGGAGCGCTCACTATTCTGACCTGTTCTCATCTGAACCCTGTTTTTGCTCATCTGGTTCACATTCCATTCTTTCTCTCCTTCCCATTTTGTTCAGGAAAGTCCTATTTTCTGCCAATATATATGTTTAATAACTGAAGACTGGGGGTATCACTCGGTGATACACCACTTGACTAGCGTGCACAGGCCCTGAGTTCAATCCCTAACATTTGCAATATATAAAAATGAATCATAATTGAGGACAGCTTGAAAATTAAAAGGTATTAGTACCAGAATCATCCCTCTCTCCCCACAGAAGAGATTTAAGCAGAAAAAAAAAAAAAAAACCCAAAGCATTTCTGTTTGTTACTACACACAAAGGGAGACAAGTCAAGGACAAGTTAGGAGTCCTGAATAATTGGATTTTAAAGATTTTTTTCCTCATTCTCTTTCTGCTCTTAATCCATTCAACATTCTTTCAAACCTATAGAACTCTAGCACCATATTACTCAAGGAACTCTTTGAGTTACAGACCAGGGAAATAGTCCACATGGGAAAAAGAGGTCTCCTTGACTCAAAAAGAGAAAGAAAATCCGAAGAACTCCTGTCTACTTCCATCTCTCCAGGCTCTAAGATAACTAGAATTTATGTTATCACCGCCTCATTGTAACAGATGGTCTGGGATAAGAAGGAAAAGAAAAACTAGAGCTTCATGAGACCACTGGCCCTGCACTTGCAGATATATCTTAGACAGTGAACAGTCCCTAATACACACAATTATTTCATAGCTTAACAAAAAATTCTGGGGAAGAAACAGACACACACACACACACACACACACAGAGCGAGAAATATACACAAACTATCACTCCAAATGCTTATTTTTAAAATCACCATTCTCATACATTTACAAGGTATATATACTGAATATTAAAACAAACTTGAATATCTCAACAGTTTCAATATCCTGAAAAGGTACAAGTTGACTAAACTATTCTTGTTTGATTAAAAACAGTATGAAGAAAAAGATACCTTTGTAAACCAAAAATATACATATAAATTAATCAGCCTTAGAATTAACATTACAAGAAGAACAGAAAAGTCAAATTGTGGGCCAAATTGTTACCACAGTGCATAACTGAACAGGCCTGCAAATTAGTAAGAAAGCTGGACTAAAAATCATCTATAAGGGACCTATGCAGCCTATCCCGTTAGCAACATAGCCTCACCTCTGAGTACCTGAGATTTATGCCTTTAAGACAAACTTCTAAAGAGGTGAGGTCCTCATAAGGGTCATACACTCCACAGTTGCAGAAGTTTGAAAAAGGGTCATGGCAAAGACAGATACAAAGGACAGCAAAACATGGTGAAATACGAGTTGTGAAGTCAGGTGTCATTCTTAGTTTGGGCGCTGGGTGACCGTGGTCAAATTATCTAAACTCTCTTAAACCTGTTTCCTCTTCTATGAAATACAAATAGTAAAATTTTACCCTAAGCAGAACCTTGAATATCAAAAAAGAACACCTAGTAAGTGTGCAGCATAGTCTTAATAAAGGTCAGCCACTCTTAATTAACAATAATAGAGTATACAACCATCTCAACTAAGAGTATCCTACTCACCTACGGGGCTACCCTTATGGGACATTCAGGTTGAGTCTATGAAGCTAGGTAGGAATACTGAAGAGAGGCTAAACGTCCTGCAGTGCACACAAGGGGACAATCTCACCCAAAACACCAAGATCCTCACTGAGAAAGTGGTGTATTACGCACACAATACTAATAATATTAAAGTAAAAAGTTGGAGAGTATCAATGTTCCTGTGAATAAGACGTACAAAATTTAAATTATCAGAAGCTACACTGATGTTTAAACATCTATCCATTAGGAGACAAATTTCTCTCGCCTGATTGTATTTGGTCTAAGATTAATGACACCTGGCATTCTTATTTTCAAAGCACACGAGTACTCACCCAACCCAAATGTCTAGCATTAAAAAGCACACTCATACAGTCACATGGAAGTGGCAGAGAAAAGTACAGTCCCAACACACCTAAGTCCAAATTCTTAAAGTGCAGCTTACCAGGAACATTTACGAACTGCATTTATCTGGCACCTAGCTGTTTTCTGACTCATGTAGGCTATCTTCCCCAGTGTCTACCAAGAGCCTTGTCCTGAAGAACAAAGGCATCAATAGCAGCAAACCGTTAACTTCTTGGTTATGCACTAGAGATAATACAATTTTTAAACTCAAATTATTTCTACTACAGATAACCTTGCAAAGGGAAACAGTCATAAAGGCTACTTTTAAAACTAGAGATCAACTTCTGATTAAAGGAAGACTACAAAGCCAACAGTAGAGTGGCTGGTTTGGAGAACAGTGAAACTCATCAAGAGATTGCACTTGACTTTGGGTAAAACGAGGAAAATCTCCGACTTAGCGAGGGAGCGCTCACCATTCTGACATGTTCTCATCAGAACCCTGTTTTTGCTCATCTGTTTCACATTCCATTCTTTCTTTCCTCCCCGTTTTGCTCAGGAATGTCCTATTTTCTGCCGATTCACACAACCCATGGCCTGAAGAGGTCCAGGGAGTATTCTCCTTCCAGCGAGACAGACGCTGCTTCTTGGCGGACTTAAACCTGCAGCCTCGCTCATAGCTCCAGTCTGACACCTTTAGCTTCTGCTGAAGGCTGGCGGCCACTTCTGACGTCACTCGCTTCACCTTCCGGCGGCGCCTGAGTGGTCGACAAGGTGCATTTTCAGTAAAGGAGTCCGATTCAGGCCAAGAATGCTGCTTATTCTTAACAATGGCATTGAGAGCTGGGTGCTGTTTGGCTACCATCGTGTCATCAGAGTCACTGAAATTGGTGACGGGGGCAACTTCTCGACAATCCTTAATAGCTTCATCCAGACTGGACTCAGAGGCTTCACTGTAGCAGCAGGCATGCTCTGCCAGGTGAGTGAAGTCAGACCGGCGCTTCCGGCCTCGGCGCTTCCGAAGCTGCCGTCTCTGCTGGCGAGGGCTCAGAGCCATCTCTTCCCACAGCTCACCAAGCTTATTCTGCTCAGATGTCTGCTCCAAGGCTGAGGCTAAATCATGTACCAGCTCATCCATGAGGACCACATCTGCCAAGAAAAAGTACAAATATATATATATATATATGTATATATATATATTTTATTTTAGTAAGCATCTACAGGGTCTCACATTGTAGATTGGACTCACAGTGATCCATACCTGTGTTCAGCCCCCAAAAAGTTGGGATTACAGGCATGAGCCACCACACCATCTCAATTTGCTTCTCAGTGCACCCTGGGGGTAGGGCCAGCACAACAGGCTTGGGGATTGAACCCCTGGACCCTGCATCTGGCTAAGCAGGCACTTTAATCCGCTTAGCTATTTGGCCAGCCTGTTGTCTATACATTACATCTGTCTGTTTCTGTCTCTGTCTTTTTTTTTTTGGTATAAGGGATTGAACCCAGGACTCTGCACTTACCACACAGGCACTTATTCCACTGAGCTATCTCCCCAGCCCTAAAAAGTATTTTTTAAAGCCTGACTAGGATGGTTGTTTTCAAATACTTTTATAAAATTGATTAAGGAGAGTCTTGCCTATGTACAGAAAATAAAGATAACTAGTAACTAGATACACCTAAGACTATGTTCCTACCATCCATGTCCCCTTAAGCCACTAAAAAACATGTATTTGGCCCGTTGAATGCCTGACACCAAGATGTTCTTAAGTACAAAAATTCAACAATACACAAGATAACAGAGATGCTAGCAAAAACCAGCAAACAAAGTCTGTTATCAAGTTCTTCCCTATTAAACATCACTGAGCTACAAGGTGATGAGACCCCCAAAAGACTATGTCTCCTCAAAGAAGAACAGAAAAACACAATTTTAAAACCACAGTACAGTTGGGAGCACACAGGATGGGATCCAGCAGCACTATGGTATTGAGACTGCAGGCTGGTTTACTGCTGAGAATAAATGTGACGGGGAACAGAAAGAGAACTAGGTAACACACTTAAGGACGATTGTTTTCAGTTCAAGAGATTCAAGAATCTGTAGTGATACAGGTGCACCAACTGCCACCTGGAAGCTACTAGGTACAGAACCTTATGGGATGTGTCCCTTATTTTTGAACAGCAACTTTTAGGCTCCTCTCCCCATCTTGATCACCCTAGTTATGTGCTTTAGTGCTGCACAATCACACCACCCACCCACCCACTCTCTCTCTCTCTCTCTCTCTCTCTCACACACACACACACACACACACACACGACATAACTGAGGCAGAAATGATGGTGATTAGGTGGCTAACTTCTTTTCAAAATTTCCCATTTTTCTATTTACTCATGAAGCCATCACACTTCAGGGGCAAAAACCTTTCAAGGGATAAGAGTAGTAGACGCAGTAGTAGTAGAAAAGAAATGTAATCGGTTCTGAAGAGTAACACCTAATAAAGTACATAATAAGTCAGCACTTAATAAGTCAGCACTTTCTGCTAGCCCTTTCTGCAAGACCATAATCAGAACTTGAAACTCTTAGTTCACCACTCTTAGAACATATTTCTGTTCAATTTACATTTTACAAAAGACTTTCAAAAATCTGTGCTCACACTTTCTCTACGCCAACGAATTCAAAGACAGGAAAGCCTTGTGGCTTATGTGACGTATCTGTGGAGACACCTAGTTCCAAAACGACCACCCAAGCAAAACTTCAAAGTGTCAAAAGCCACATATATGAAAAGATCACGCCTTTTTAAACAGTAAGTAGTGTAATAAGACTCCTGCAGGGGTTGGGATGAGTACTGCTCCTATGAACAAAACAGATAAGTGCAAACAGCGTGTATAAATCTCATTTCCTCGTAACACTGGTTTAAAACTGGCAGAACTGCACAAACTGTGACGTGGAACGAAATTATTAATCAACTTGTAGTCGAATACTTGTGCAGAATCCTTTTCCTGCCTCTAAGACTGCAATTTAAACACAGTCAACATAAGAGCCCTGGGGCCCCCGCGCTCCCAGGTTCACCGAGATGAACACCCAGCGGACCGTGGACCCGAGGCCCTGGGAGGGTAAGACGTTTGAGTCACCACAGGAGGCGGTAGGCAGCAAAGGCCAGCCCGGAGGAGGGTGGGAGTCGTGGAAGGTAGGGAGGCCGAAGGCAACCTCGAATTCGGGCTCACCCGAAGCTCTAGGGTCTGCCCTCAAGTCGCAAACAGCCGAAGCGCCAGCGGGCTCCCTCTGCGACCGAGGGTCGCAACGTGGCCAAATATGTGGGGAAAAGACCCTAAAATAACCTGTTTCGAAGGACTCCCCGCCAGCCCCCGAAAGCTACGACCAATGCCCGAGACGCCGATCCCTCATGCTGTCGCCCGCCGACGAAAGAAGGAAGCTAAAGGACTGTCGCCTCGGAGGCGAACCGACCCTCAGCTCCCGGGATGGGGAACAGGCCTGCAAAGCCAGGCCCGCCACGCTCGCGCCTCCCGCCGGCCGCCGAGACCCTAGGCGTCCTTAGCCGCCCAGCCGCGGACCAGAGCCCGGATCCCCCCCGCCGGCGACGGACCCGGACCCTCCTGACCCGCTCCGCCCCTCACCGGGTGCAGCAGCCACCTCCAACTGGCGCCGCTTCGCGGGCCCAGTCTCCCTGCCCGGGTTTCCCCCTATGACCTCATTTCCGGTCGGTGCCGGAGGGGTGGGGCCGTGGCGGAGTGGGGGGGCTGACCCGGCGGAACAGGAGCTTCCGGCCGGGCCCAGCCGCTTCCGCCACATATGGGCGGGGCCACGGGGGAGGGGCGCAGCGGGGCTGCGGCTAGGCTGGCAGTGGGAAGCGAGGATGCCTTTACGGCTCAGGTGTTGAACCGGAGTAGCCCCCTCAGGCTAGCCTCATCTCCTTTCAGAAAGTTGGGCGCTGCAGATTTATTAGGTAGGAGAAAATGAACCTTGATTTTTACCCATAAGAGTTCGCTTAACTTTGAAAGGGGACAATTTTGCATCAAGTTACTGAGAGCATTAAAAACATACTCGCCTTCAGGCCAGCCAGATAGCTCAGCGGACTGAAGCCTGCTTAGGCAAAGCACAGTGGCCCGGGTTTCTTCACCGACATGCCGTGCTGGCCCTGCCCAGGGGCGCGGTGAGATGGCGATTGAGGTTGGGTGTGGTGGCGTTTGTGCCTGTAATCCCAGAGTTTGGGAGGCCTGAAAACAGGCAGATCACTAGGATTCCAATCTCCGCAGTGAGACCCTGTAGACCCTGTAC